CACTGTGATTCCCAGAGGTTCCAGCTCAGCGCAGTGCAACCTTGCAAACTTGGGAAATTCCTTTCTTGCAACTCACAGCTGCCATCAGTAAGCAGGAATAACAACATTTTAAGATGATTTTAAGATGAAATCAGTGAATACGCATAAGCATCTTAGAATAGTATCTGGCAAACAAGTATTTAGTAGCTGCTAGATGGAGAATAACTAAGGTTAGATCTTAAAATAGGCAGGCTCTAGGCAAAATCATTTCATGCTTGGATCATGGAAAAGGATTATTCTAAGCTGCATTTTTATTACTGAACAACTTAACGTACAATCTGAAACAAGCACAACTTTTAAAATCTAGAATTTAACATCTATGTATTTCCATGCCCTTGAAGGCCAGGAGTCTTAACTCCTTTATTTAGTATGAAAAGTTAAATGGTAGCACAGCTAACATCTAGGTTTAGGTATTTTAGCAAATATCTTAATGGTGATACGATCCTTCATAAATTCTTCCTTTAAATTGCCCACTGAGATTTTCAGTTAATTGGCTGAGGTTTGCAACTTGTTATACATCCTAATGGTAAGATCTTTAAAGTAGAACACTAAGCTTGGGCAACCAAAGAATGACTTCATCTTCTAGTTTCTACAAGGGCAGAACCGGAAGTCATGGGAAGGAGAGATACACTGAAGCCTGCGTCACTAAGGTAGACTCTGGCTGCCTGTCTCTAACACTCAGGCACCTGCATAGGCCTGGTACTGGCCTCTCCTACTTCTCCGCTGAGGAGACTATCTGTATACGGACAACGGGAAGAAAGAGAAGCAGACATTCTTTCCTTATTGACCTTATTCCTCACAGGAACTTATTCTTCAGGATTCTGTCTCAATGCATGATATGCTGGACATAGCTTTAATGTTCACTGTGGTGAAAACGGTCATTACACTTCAATACAAAAATTGTAAAGTATACACTTACAGTGTATTGCGTAAGTATGCTACATCACAATTTAAAAATTTTTGCACAACTGGATACTGTACTATCTCACTGAGTTTGAGTCACGTCTATACACCAACAATCAGATATTTCAAAATAGCCTACCATGAAATGTTTCCTCTTTGTATTTATAAATACTATCCTGACCTCTTTTCCAACTCCACTTAAGGGCTTTCCATTGGTTCGGTAATTGTCAAGTTTCTTTTTTTAAAAAGAAAGTACCACAACAAATGTCTCCTAACTTATTGCTATTTATTTATACTGGTTCATTTAATAAATATTTAAAGAACACTACTTTCTCCAAGATAATAGTGGGAAATATTTTCAGTTCAAGATAACAATATCTATTATCTCATTTGAAAACAGTAGCCACATCCAAAGTGAAGATACAATGCCCCCTTCCAAGAGTTTAAAACAAAGTAGCAGATTAGACAATGAGCAAAGGACCATCACCTGTATTTTATTCAAATTCAATCAATCCTTTACTGCTCAGTGCCAGTAAAGAATGAATAGCTACATTTTGGCAGAATCTGTTGCATCAAAAAAAGCACCTAATAATGAAGACATTTTTTTAAAAAAGGTTTTTTTGCAAACCTTACTTTTCCTATGGTTTACTTTTAATCACCTAGAGAAGCAGCATTATACTTCAGAATTACTTTGAAACTAACATCTCAAATCAACCCCAAGAATCTAGCACAACACGGCAGTGACTCAGAGCTGTGCAAATTGAGGGGATCAACGTAGACCCAGTGATGGGTTTCAAGACGTACAAGAAGAAATACCACTGGTGCAGAAAGCAATATTCATTTTTTTTGCTTTTCATCAGTATAAGTTTGTAATACATAATAATTACATTCCTTCTGAGGAGTTGGTACACATACATGACACATTTTAACACTTTTTAAAATTTATTCTAGCTTATTAGTTCACAGTTGTAGATTTTAATGTTTACATTCCCTGTGGGAAGTTGGTACATGCACACAACACACTCCCAATTCATTTTTTCATCCCCTAACCCTTCCCTCCATCCTTTCTCCATCTCTTGATCCATTTTCCCTGTAATAAACAATCTATTTCCCTACTTTGTATGACAATATCCATCTTTTATTTTGCTCATTTAGTCTGGATTTCTCATCTAAGAGAAAATATGACATTTAAACTTGTGCATCCGATTCATTTCACAACATATGGTCACAAAATACCTTCATTTTCCTGCAAAGAATTTGAGTTTTTCTTTCTTTATGGCAAAGTCGTATTCCATTATGTGAAAATACCACATTTTCTTTACCTAGTCATCTGCTGATGAACATATAATCCAGTTCCAAGATTTAGCTACTATGAACTATGCTCCACAATAGCAAATGCAAATCTGAGTAAAAAGAACGAAGCAGGAAGCATCACAATCCTGGACCTGAAATTATATTACCAAGCTACTGTGATAAAAACAGCACAGTACTGGTCCAAAACAGACATGAGGATCAGTGGAACAGAAAAGAAAATGCAGAAACAATTCCAAGTACATTCAATTATTTGAAGCACACAGTGGAAGAAAGACAGCCTCTTTAATAAATTATTTTGGGAAAACTGGCTACCCATATTGAAGATTGAATCTAGACCGATATTCTTACCATGTACTAAAATCAAAAGTACTACATGTTAAGCTATAAACATTTAACATGCTGGAACACATTCTAATTATTTTCACAAAGATCCATCAGCCCTTTTCCTATTATCTACCTTTTATTTCGTTCTTTATATTCTTGGTTTCTCACAGAAGAGAAACCATGCACTATTTAAGCTTACATATCTAATTTGTTTCACCTAACATTATGATCTCAAGGTACATCCATGTTCCTACAAATGACTCCAGTGTATCCTCCTTTTTATCTGAAAGCAGGAGGAATGCCAGGAAGGAGGAAGAAAGGCAGAATAAACACCAGGTAACAGGAAGGAGGCTCAGTAGCTGAGATGGATCCATGATGCTTCAACAAGTGATGAAAGACGACACCACAACTGCTGGCTAGAGTCAACTCTGAAGGGCTCTGAACAACAGAGTGAGGAGTCTGCATTTCTTGAAGATGGGGGAAAACTCTGGATGATCCCTCACTGTCATCCAACCCAAAAGCCCAAGCCATTTGATAATCAAAAAGGAAACCACAATTCTCTTCCTCTCTTGCACAGATCAAACCCTTCTCATACTCTGTGTACTACAACCAATACTGTCCTGTTTGCATTCTGTTTTGGTTAAAGCCTTCTGATCAGTCTCTGAATATTCCTTCACCTGTCCATCTCCACAGGCATGTACAGCATAAGACAGAAAAACAATGTGCTTCCTGTAAGTACTTTTCATTGCCAAACCTGCCCAATAAAATGACTACTCCAATCCAGATCAGGGCTCTTTGTTCCCTCTCAATCATAAACAGCTTATGCTGAGTCAAAAGTGTAACAAAATTGCACAAGTCAAATTTCTAACTAGACAAAATCATAACAAGAAAATATTATTAAGCCAAATGGCTTATCTAATATTATACTTAATTTAGCCAATACTTTTTTTAAAAGCTCAAATAATAAACTATAAAGCAGAAAAGATTAAGAAGGCATCTCCTAACTTTTCACATCTGTCACATTTGGTCAAAACTTAAGAAATATTTCAACATTATCTTTAAAATCTCTACCTGAAGAATCCCAAAATAAAGAAAGAATTCAAAAAATATCCACATTTTGCTAAGGGTAAAATTTGAACTCAATAAATCAATAATTAAGAAGAGGGGAACATATTCTACAAGAAGGTATTAAAGCAATGACTTTCATTTACACTTACCATTTTATAGCCAGTTTCACCAAACTTTCTGAGTTGCAAAGAAGTAGATAAGAAAGTGACAAAATAAGTAACTCAGAATCTGAAACAGTGTACTTCAGTTTTAAAAATGCTAATCTAACAGTTCCTATGAAAACTGCAATTCATTATGATCTGAGTTCTATATTTAATCACAGTAACTGAGCTTAAGTTGAATCTGAAAAGTATTTAGTGAATATCCATGAACCGCACTGGGAGGAACTTGCGAAACCAGAAGAATGATCAATTGTTTTTAAATGTACCATTGGCCTCTCCCTGCACAGGCAACCCCTATAAAATCTGACAGGCTCACAGGAGAAGAAAAAATACAAACACATGCACACCCACATAAATACGTTTTAATGAGCCATTTGATTTACCCTCTAGGTACATTTTAATTTAATATATCTTTGGGTACTGATAATCACAAATCGAGTCTATACACAACCCTCTTAAGGTGTTAGGACCCACCTTAGGGGTGTGGGTTAAATATCTGTTTGGAAAGAAGTCAGGGAGATATTTCCATTTCGGGCTCTAGCCTACTTCCATGACCCACTTTTTTCTTTTTTAAAACATTGTTAAACAGTGGACTGTCATGAGACTGTTCCCAGCATATCTCTCTTGAAGGTGTATGAAAGCCATGAATAAGAATTCAGAGGATTTTCTTCTGCCTCGTTAAAAAAGTTAGCATTCTTTTTTAAACACCCATAACTTCACCTTCCAATTACTGATGGGCAATGTTCCATACACTCCTGCTGGTGCAGAGTGCTTAAGTGCGGGGAGATCAATACTGAGCTTGTAAGTACAATACTATTATTGGCAATAACAATGACATCCGATTAAATGTACTTTTAAAAATAGCTTATTTTCAAAACACTTGTTTTTAAACCCAAAGGATTTAGTCCACTGAACAGTCTACAAGGACAAGCTTGCAAAACATAAAAAATAAAGACAGGAAAAGACAGAAATAAGAAAGTTGCTATCATCATACAAACTGGCAGCACCCTAAAATGTCATTATCCACACAAACCACCTTATCGTTCTCTTATACTTTCCCTGTCATTATCAAAGATTACAGCTCACAATAAATTTTGAGAAGTCTTCCCCGCATCAAAATAATCCCAAATCGTCAGGAGGTGGGAAAAGTGGTTACGAAAACAAGCCAGAATGAAATAAAATAACACTTACTTCAATAAATAGGATGACACCCATTCTCCCAAGAGAACTGTCTCCAAAAGTGAAGAAGGAGCAATCTCATAAACTCATTCTCCACAGGTCCCCCTGCACGGTGTTGGGTTCAAGTGGGTGGAGGCCAAGGGTTGTAATTAAAGTTAATTAACAGGCCAGTCGCTTCAAAGTGTGCAACGAGCAGGGTGCGGGGGAGCACAGAGGCAGGACCAAAATCATTATCTCTTCTGAGAAAGGAGCCTGGAACTTGCTTCCTGGGGAGGGAGGTCCTAGCTGTGTGCCCGGCTTGTCACCCTGCCGGGTCAAATCCCAGAAGTAAGTGCAGTTTCTCTATCACTTACCGCTTCTGCTTTCTTTTTAGACGCCCACACGCGGGAGCAAATCCAAGAGGCAGAAACCAGAACCCAGCACTTGGCGCTCCAGAAACTGACCGGGAAAAGTGAGGCCGCCCCGGCTCGCGCCGAGGGCCCGGCACCCCGGCCCGGCCCAGCCCGCCCGCGCCCCGTCCTCGGTCCGCGCCCCGGTACTCGCCTGGCGCGTGGCCGCCGAGCTCGGAGGCGAGGCGGGGCGGGGCTGGGCGCCCCCAGGCCGGCTTCGCTCCCGCCCTCCGCTCCGGCGCGGCCCCGGCGTCCCCGGCCCCGCCGGCTGTCTCCAGTGGGCTGCGGCCGCGCGGGCGGCGCTCTTCCTCGGCCGCCGCACCTGGAGGCGGGAGCGCCGCTGGCGCGGGCCGAGAGGCGCGCAGCTCCGGAAGCGCCGCGCCCGCCGGAGCCCGGCCCAGGTGCGCCCGCGCCGCCGCTTCCTCCGGCCCGCGCGGGGGCAGCGCGAGCTCGCGGCGGGGGCGGTCGGGCCGGCCGCCCTGGTTCCGCCGCATAGCTGGGCGGCTGACTCAGTGGGTCGCGCGGGGCCGCGCCTGCCACCTGGCGCACCTCGCGGGAGGCGCCCGGGCCGACGGCGCCGCCGGGGTGCGCCCTGCGCGGGGCGGCGAGGGCATCGCGGGGCGCCTGGACCTCGCTCCCGGCTCTCGCAAGGGGAACTGAGTGCCAGAGAGCCGGAGCCTCGCCAGCACTGATGATTAGTGGTACTCGGTGAGCTTGGCGGCGTCTCCCAAACTTTGCAGCCTCTGCACTGCCCGGGAATCAGTACACTGAACTAGATCTTGGTGATTGGGCAGGTCCCATTATTAGGGTTCGCCCTCACCTCGTGTCCATGGGAAAGACACTGATACCTCGCCCCCACGTTCGCATTGAGGAATCTGGAGCTGAGCACCTTGTCTGGGTGGCCACTGTTTTCAGGGAGTGGCTGTGAATTGTGACAAGATCTCAGTTCTTTCCCTTGAGGAGGAACACACAGCCTCACCACTGATCTGTGGGAATAGGCCTCTCTTCTCTTTCCTCCATAGAAGGGCGGGACTGCCCCTCAGCTAAAATTTGTTAGCTCCCAGGACTCCTCCCCTTGAGGGTGGCCTTTGATATCCAGCCCTTGGAGGTAATAAGGAGGAAGAGAAAGGAAAACAGCAAAGAACGGTCCAGAAAATCCTTGTGGACCCCAACACATGAGACTCTGTAAAAGCCAGTTTTTTGCAAGAGAGCTCATAAGCCAACTACTTGCATTTAGTTCTTCATAAGTAAACAGTTCTGCACAAACTACTTGAGATTTTCGCATTAAAAGGTGAAATGTACGTACCTTTCCCCTGTATCTGTTGACAGAAGTGAAGAAATTGGGGGTTCCGGTCTTATTATGAAAATAAGATAATTGATGAAGTCCGAGGTCCAAGAGGCTTCAGTGCAAGTCTTCCTGCATTAACCTGTCTCCAAACCAATGCTCAAAAAGCTCTTTCTTCCCCCGAGACTTTAGCACCTATAAAGTGCCACACAGCACCAAATCTCCAGTTTCTTTTGAATGAAATACTTAATAGCAAGCCTCATTTCTACTGGGCACTTCTTCTTGACAGTTTCAAAACCTCAAGAATGCTTTTTCTTCATATTCCCATAGCATTTATAATAGGAATTTTATTTGCGTAGCTCTTTCCTGACTCCATTTTAGATCTGCGGTCTCTGTGATTGGCGGGGAGAGGGATCTGTTTTTCTCTTTTCCTACGAGTTATCACATCTCATTTTTTGTCTTTATTAGCCATCCTGAATTGTTCTCTGAACACAGTAGGTTGTCAATTAACAAAAATTCTTACATGAGTCAAGCACTGCCTTATCCTAAAGTTACTTTTCTCGACAGATTTTATTAACTAATTGGGACTATGTGCCTTTTTGCAATATCTTAGTTCCTTGATTATCCTTTATTTATGATTAAAAAAACCAAATTGATCACGACTTGATACAGTGGTTACCAAATAAAATACAATCTCTGGATTTAGTAGTGTTCTATGAAGATATAAAGTTAAGAGCTATAAACCGTCAGTGATTTAATAGCAGTTCTGGGAAATGAAATGAAAAAGGTATTGACCCATTGATTGTAAAGTTGGACGCTGGTTTTATGAATCGATATATAGAGGAAAATATCTAAATAAAAATGGTAAATTCTACTTCTTCTAATTGCTCGCTACTCACCAGTATCTAGCCAAATACCTAAGGTATTTGCTACATATGTGCAATAACTCCATGAGTTAAAAGTTTCCTTTTCTTTCTTTCTTTCTTTCTTTTTTTTTTTTTTTTTTTTTGGTTGGTCTTTTTGAGACAGGGTCTCGCTATGCAGTTCACGCTGGCCTTGAGCTCACTTTGTAGCGCAGGCTGGTCTCAAACTCACAACGTTCTCCTGCCTCAGCCTCCAGAGTGCTGGCTGGAATTACAGGCATGAGCCACTATGCCCGGCTAAAAGTTTCCTTTTCAATTCCACATAGTTTTAATTGAAATTTAAATAAGCTAAATAATAAATAGTACATAAATTGAATATATCTCAGCTGTATTAGTAGAGAAGGAATTATTTATATAACTCTGCCCACAGACATTCAGGGAACAAAGGAGACAGGGAAATTGGCTTCATAAAAATTAAGATCAGTTCACTGCCAAGCTATTGGGGTATAGGTACCCAGAAATTCATCTAGGTAATTACTCCAAAGTGCTCTGCTCCCATCTTTATTTCCTACATTTTTCGGAAGAGAGCAGATAAAACTACCTTTCGCGCTTTTATGCCTTTGGTGCTCCCACTCCTTCTACTCAGAATGCCCGCTGCTTAGGAAAGCAGCTTTTAGAAAGTAGAAATTCTCCTCTCCTCCTCCTTGCACTCTTCTCTTCCTTTTTGCCCCTTTCCTTATCCATGGAAGCCAGTACCCAGTGAGCACTTATATGCCGGTTACTGTTCTGAGCACTTGGAAATGCTCATTTAATGATCTTGATGGCTCCTTGGAGACATAGCATTGTTATCCCTCAATAAGAAAGTTTGATGAAAGAGCATGTGAAGAACTCACACAAGTCAAATGCTACAGGATCACGGTATAAGGGAGAGTAAGTTCCAACCCAGTCTTCCCCAAGATGCAGGTCTGCACTGGGCTATCTCGGAGAAAGCTAATGGTGCTGAGTTTGGAATACTCTGCATCAAAATGTAGTCACCGTATGTAAGCTTTGGCATTTTCTAAAGTCATTAACATGTAGACTTTGTGCTCCCATCTTTAAACTGGGAATAGTAATACCAATGAGAATTTAATGCAATTATGTATCTAAAGCATCTAAACTATAGTAACCCCTCAATGGGTCCAGTCTCTTTTTTCTAATTACTCATCAAGGTTTTAAACCCACCTCATTCCTAAACCGATGTCACTAATTCCCAGAATTACTTACACACAGAATTTAAAGTAATCTTTCCATTTTTTCTAAAAGAAAATCCAACTTATTTTGCCAAATATAAAATATTAAAGATGTAGATGTGCCAGACATGGTGGTACGTGCCTTAATATCAGCGTTCAGGAGCCTGAGGCAGGAGGATGGCTGTGAGTTTTGAGGCCAGCCTGGGATTTATAAGTGGGTTCAAGGCCAACCTGAAATTAACTGCATAGTGAGACTGTCTTAAAAAAAAAATTAGATGCAAAATAGACATTTACTTAAAAATATTTAACTCATCAATTGAGATAAATAAATTATACATTAATGTAGAGCCACTGCCTTTTCCATTCAGGTTTTAGAGAATACTTTTATCCCAATTTGAACATGCCATTTTGACTGCAATGACTTCATGTGTAGGGTTGTACTTTGAATCATCACATGCTTCTTTTACTTCCCCCAACCCTGACTGTACCTCATCCCACCTTCTGTCTTGCTCTGTTCCTGTTGCCTGTGAACAATCAAGTTTTTGTCTTGCAAATTATCCAGGTTATGCTTTCTGGGGACTTTGATTAAAATGAAGTTTGTTTTGTTTTTTATGTTCTCTAGTATTTATTTGCTCATTAACTCACTCTCTTATTATAGAAGTTAGTTTTTTGGTTTTTTGTTTTGTTTTATTTTTACTATTTGTGTACCAGATAGGGAGGTGCAAGCTGGGTCTTATATGGTTATGAGGCAAAAGTGTCAAAAATAATGAATAACCTACAAACTTACCCCATCTATGGCACTGAGGGTATAAAAGTGTGTTTCGTGGTGTGATCAGTTGACTTCTATTTTTATCCCTACTCTAAGATTAAAGGATGTTATACAACAAATCAAGGTCTTGATCAACTACACTCAACAAGCCTTAAAGAATAGCTCAACTGGTCTCTCTCCTAAACGTAACGTAATGTGTCAAGCCATCCTCCAGCCATCTATGGATGGTGTTACATATTCTAACAGCTGCACAGGGAGATATTTGTACAATTGTAAAAGCTAAATGTTGTATGTGCATTCTGCATCTTTCTGCTAGTATCTCAATGGCTGTCCAAGATATTAAACAACAGGTTAATGCCATGTCAGATTCTAAATTTCCCTAGACTTTCTCCTTACTGTCTTTGTGGGTGGCTGTTATTGGCTCTTCCTGCTGGGAATATTTGTTGGTTGTATTCATAATAGTCTGTTGATCTTATTATTTGTCCCATGAATACTTAACGTTTCTTTGGCCTTATTTTCTCCAAACTTAAACCTATACACCAACCCAAGATGAAAACGCATGGCATCTATTGAGGACCTTTAGATAAACCCTTTATGAAGTATCTCTGACTGCTGATCCCAGCGAAGACCCTCTTCAGCCAGAAGTAGCCACCCTTTACCCCTTTTAGCAGTTAAGTGTACCTCTTCAGAGCGGGGAGTATCACAGACAGGTAAGTAAAAATATAGGCAGTCAGATAGGTCTAGGC